AGACTTCTGCTGACATGCCCCCCCCCCCACAGCTATTCACTGGGAAGACCAGTGTGCTGCTGTTTCTTCTGCCCCAGCTCTCTAAGCTACTGATGCAACTGAAAACAGAGGGTACATGATCATGTATAAAAATGGCAAAAAAAGTTATTTATAATGTTTTTGTATGTATACACAAATGTGTTGCCGTTCATTTCTGTTTTAAACTCAATACGTTGTTTTACAAGGTGAGAGCAATTTGATGGTTCGGCAGGACACGTCCTACCAAAATGAGACTCGCGCGTGGCCGCGATCTGTCACAGACTGTGTCCACTGGACACAGCCAATGACTGATCAGTGTACCAGCCTGCTTCCAATATCATGTGATCGCTCTGACCAATCACAGTAGATCACATGACATTTGTAAACAATGAATAGCTTTGAATCATGCCATTCATTGTTCCAGTTGTGTTATTAGCTGTGATTGGTCATTCAGTAAAATGTTTGCTTTTAGCAGTGAAATTCACTGCTATAAGCATTTGAAATGTGTAAAAAAAATATCTTGATCATTTCCCCAGAGTAGTACAATGTGACTATGGTCACAGTGAGCTAAAAAAAATTGAAGAAAAAAATGTAATAAAAAATTTTAAAACATTTTTTAAAAATTGAAAAAAATTATTAAAAGTTTTTTTTCATACTGTCACCAGTCCTTGTCCCTGATCACTGCCACGCCAGCTATATGATGATGCTCTACTACACTGGTGAAAGTATGTAAAAAAAGATTTAGATTTTTTTTATTATTATTATTATTATTATTTCTTAATTTTCAAAAGTAATAAAAAAAATTACAGCTTCAAAAAACTCACCATGCCTCTTACTAAATACTGTCTACTTTCCAAAAGACTGTCTACTTTCCAAAAAGGGGTAATTTGGGGGATATATGTACTGTCCTGATATTTTTGGGCCTCAAGAAATGAGCTAGGCCATCAGTACATCAGGACTGATCAATGTTTAGATACACTATTTTGTCAAAAGTATTGGGACACCCCTCCAAATCATTAGATTCAGGTGTTCCAATTACCTCCTTGGCCATAGATGTATACAATTAGGCACCTAGGCATGCAGACTGCTTCTACAAACATTTGGGAAAGAATTGGTCGCTCTCAGGAGCTCAGTGAATTCAAGCGTGTACAGTGATATGTTGCCACCTGTGCAATAAGTTCATTAGTGAAACTGCTACTAATATATTCCACGGTCAACTGTTAGTGGCATTAAAACAAAGTGGAGACAACTGGGAACAACAGAAATTCAGCCAAAAAGTGGTAGGTTATGTAAAATGACAGAATGGGGTCAGCGCATGCTGAAGCAGATAGTGCGCATAAGTTGTCAACTGTCTGTAGAGTCAATAGCTAAAGACCTCAAAATTTTGTGTGGCCTTCAGAGTAGCACAACAACAGCGTGTAGAGAGCTTCATGGAATGGGTTTTCATGGCTGAGCAGCTGCATCCAAGCCTTACATCACCAAGTGCAATGCAAAGCATCGGATGCAGTGGTGTAAAGCACACCGCCAGTGGACTCTAGAGCAGTGGAAACATGTTCGAATGACAAATCATGCTTCCCTGTCTGTCAATCTGATGGACCTGTCTGGGTTTGTTGGTTGCCAGGAGAATGGTAGTTGCCTGACTGCATTGTGCCAAGTGTAAAGTTTGGTGGAGGGGGGATTATGGTGTGGAGTTTTGTTTCAGCGGTTGTTCTTGGAAGTGGTGTATGTAGGTTTTGTACTGCCCTAGGCAATAGAAAAATCTGCCACCCCCACACCCCTCTGTATAGAGAGCCTGACACTGATCAATGCCACCTCCCCACCCCCGTGGAGGAGAGAGCCTGAGACCTTGATCAACAACACCCCTGCACCCCCCCACCTGAGAGAACCTTCTACTACCATTGCCCCCCATACACTGTCTTCCCCACCCGGCAAGAGAGAGAAAGATGCTCACCTTCACAGCTCTGGACATCCTCGGGAATGAGAGTTGGGCATTGCATATACTGTCAACCAGCCTGCAGCCTCTCTCAGATCCCACCTGATCCCCATGCCGCGTGTGTCTCTTCTTCAGTTCCTTCTTCCAGGGGACAGTGCCCCCCCAGGCAAATTCCTTGTTTGCCTTGTGGTAAATACACCCCTGGGGCTTGGCCCCTTAGTTTCAGTGAAGGGAACTCTTAAGGCATCAGTATACTAAGACATTTTGGACAATTTCATGCTCCCAACTTTGTGGGAACAGTTTGGGGATGGCCCCTTCCTGTTCCAACATGACTGCGCACCAGTGCACAAAGCAAGGTCCATAATGACATGGATGAGTGAATTTGGGGTTTAAGAACTTGACTGGCCTTCACAGAGTTCTGATCTCAACCCAAGAGAACACCTTGGGATGAATTGGAGTGGAGACTGCGAGCCAGGCCTTCTCATCCGACATCAGAGCCTGACCTCACAAATGTGCATCTAGAAGAATGGTCAAACATTCCCAGAGACACACTCTTAAACCTTGTGAACAGCCTTCGCAGAAGAAATTAAGCTATTGTAGCTGCAAAGGGTAGGCCAACTCAACATTGAACTCTAAGGACTAAGACTGGCATTAAAGTTGATGTGCGTGTGAAGGCAGGCATCCCAATACTTTTGGCAATATAGTGTATATAACATAGTTTGTATGACTCTATAACTTTCCTACAGACTAAATAATAAACACTGATTTGGGTAATTTTCAGCAAAGAAATGCAGCAGAATACATTTTGGCTTAATTTATGAGGAACAATTATTTATTTGCAGAATTTTATAACAGAAAAAAGAAAAACGTGTTTCTTTTAAAATTTCCGGTCACTTTTTATTTAGCAAAAAATAAAAAAACCCAATGGCTATTAAACACCACCAAAAGAAAGCTCTATTTGTCTGAAAAAAAAAATTATAAAATTTTAGCTTGGATACATCATTGCATGACCACATAATTGTTATTCAAAGTGCGTCAGCTCTGAAAGCTGAAAGTTGGCCCAATATTGAAGTGGTTAAAGCTGAAATCTGGGTAAAAATAAAACTACTGAAATTTTAATAAAGATCTGATCGTATTTATGTATACTAAAGAAAAATAGTTTAGTGAGATTTTCCTATCAAATTTTAAATCTAAGGAATTTACACAGAATATTTGGTGCATGTCTATAAATATTTAATGTTCACAAGTTTTCCCAATGATTGTGCTCTATAAAAGTGGTCAATAATGACTGAATTCCAACCAAGTTGTTTGGTTAATGATTTTGGTGGATGTAAGTACTTGCCAATCAACAATTGTTTAATCGTCTTTAAGCATCTATGCACAATGGCTTAAAAAACTTTGCTCCTAGAGGAGTTTAGTGTATTGCTTGTAGAAGCAACTAATGTTATCCTATGTGTTCATGCACATTAGGTCTTGAGCTCAAAATTAGCATTTTGTTCTAAGAGCATTGGTGTTTTTTTTAAGCCAGTGTGAATGGACCCCAAAGTCTCAGCCTTATGAGAATTGATCTTCTCTTTGCTATAGTAAAGTCATAGAAAGTTACACAGGAGGATGACTTTGAAAAGGGACAGTACTGACATATTCCCATCCACAATACTGGGGAAAAGTATTTGCCCCCTTCCTGATTTTTTTTTTGCATATTTGTTACACTTAAATAATTCAGATCATCAAATACATTTTTACACAAAGATCACCCAGGTAAATACAAAATGCACTTTTTAAATGATGATTTTGTTTATTAAGGGAAAAAGCTGTTCAAACCTTCCTGGCCTTGTAAAAAAAAGTAGGGCAAATATGCAAGAAAATTTGGAAGGTGGCATCTAGAGACTTCCCCATTGCTCTATATGTAGAAGTACATGAGAGCTGCATCACATGCAATAATGTTGAAATGACTAGTTTCAGGCCACACACAGCCTTTCATCAGTTCACTGACAGATCTGATCATAGCATTCTTCTAAATAGTATATCATTTCAATTCAGACCTTCTAAACAATATTTAGACTCTAAATACCAATTACCCAAATCATATGAATAAATCATATCAATAAAATAGTGGAAAAGTTTGCAATTCTATATACAAGCAGGGAGAATGAATTAAGGAAAAACATCCATATATCTTTTTTCTAATAATGTTCATTATTCATATCCAGAAAGTTAAAAGATACATAAAAATAACAAAATATATACCAAAGCAATTAAACAACTAATATATTTTCTACAAAAAAAGTATAAATCAGATCAGTGGGTGTATATTCACTTGTTATTTTGTGTTCCGCTATGATAAAAAATTACTTTATCCAAGTGACTCATTATAAGTGACTACTCTTTCTTTGTGTTTTATTTGTAGTACACCATTCACAATATTGTTCTACTTCAGTATGACCTTGTCTTAGGTAATGGTTTACCAATTTGGCTCTTTCATGTTGTTTTTTAAACGCACAAGTGGTTCACAAATAGACCTAAATTTGGACCGACAATTATGAAGACAGTTGCAGAATTTGCATAATGAAATCTGGCACTGTATTCATTTGAGTTGTGTGTGCTGTAAAACACAACAAGGCAATTCATCAAATGAATTAATAACTTATTTTATCTCTTATGTTTGCCAGCACAGTTATGCAGCAATTCCCCTATTTTTAATGTCATATGTTCATACGGGTAGCAGAGAATTTTCAGATGAAGGTATTTAATTCAATTAAGTCATTAAATATCAGTGAATCACAGTACATGGGTTGTAGTTGTTGGAACTAAATACAACTGAATTATGGGGTAAGGTTAAAATACAACATGTGTTATCAAGCTTAATGACTAAATTACATTGACTTGTCTGAATATTCATTTTAGATGTTGCTGGCTTGCATTCCTGTTTTTTTCTTACATCATTTATATTTACTGCTTTCAGGAAAACCAAAGCCATTAGGCAAATGTGACCTGCATTTCCCTCTATAACTGGAGCCACAGAAACAAGCAAAACACACATACTCAAAATATGGATGGTTTAATTGAACAGAACAGTGTGCTTATGCATAATAAAATCACAGAGGCTGGGAAAAGGAATGGCTTAATCAACACAAGAAATTTAATGGCAGAAAATAAAGATGGAATGGTGTCGGTTTATCCAACCCCCCAATATCAGAGTCACATTGTTGGAACTATTTCAACACAGACTGCCATAGACAACATAAAAAATGACCCAGTTCAACAACTGTTGGATCCTAACATGCTGCAACAGACTGTGGAGTCCCACTATCGCCCCAACATCATTCTGTATTCTGAGAATGTCTTACGTTCTTGGGGAGAGAATGTCAGCGCGGAGTGCTGTGAAACCACATTTATTGAAGACAGATCACCAACCAAAGACAGTCTTGACTACCAGATACCAAGTTCATTGACCTTTCCTCTGAAGACATCAAAATCCACACCCTTTCCTATGATGTGGAAGAGGAGGAGGAATTTCAAGAATTAGAGGTTAGTTTCACCCAGCAATTGTTGATAAATAAGAATGATCACAGTTGGGGAGGATATGTCTTTTACAATAATACTAATTATTTTAAAAAGATACAGATCATGATAGTTTTTTCTATTATGTGGTTATGCACATTTGTTTTAAGTGGAAACCATCCATTTTTTTTATCTTAGAAAAAAAATTGGAAGGGATTAGAACCTTTGGCAAATTATTACTGCTGTCTGCAACAGAGGTATGGTCAATAATAAAAACCTGATGGTGGGACCGGGACCTTTTCCTGCTATATCCAAAACTTTAAAAAAAGGTTTAGCTGCACATGCACTTTAATGTTTTCTATATGGGACATAGATACTGACATTGCTGACCTCCTTCTACAATATCTAGTTGCCTGGTTATTTTGCAAATCCTCTGGCATCAGTATTTTCACTGTACTCTAGTACTGTTTGCTTACATGTTCCCATATGTTCACATATTCAGGCAGTAAATCTGAATTGAGCCCTTTAGGCTAAGGGGGCTATTTCGATAAAGTTGTAGAGATCGTAGACAACAGGCAATCCAAGTGGGGCCCTGAACTCAGCTCTTTCACTTGTCACACACATGCATAGAATTGAAGCCATGCCCCTCAGCACAAGCTTCCACATGCACATTTGTAGTACCGAATAATAGAAGGTGTTTCTGACCAGATCTTAAAGATCATAAAGTGCACTGGACAGTGTGCCTAGGGGAATATGCACTCAGACATTAAGCTGACTATACACTGTTATTTTTTTCTTTCAGCCACCAGGCTGAACAAAAGAAACTTATTTATTTATTTCAGGTACTTTTGTATATGCTGTCAATGTACGCAGCGCTTTACATATATATTGTAAATTCACATCAGTCCTTAACCCTCAAGGAGTGTACAATCTAAGGTCCCTAACTTACATTCATACATACATGGGCCAATTTAGACAGGATCCAATTAACTTACCAGCATGTCTTTGGAGAGTCATACCTACCCAGAGGAAACCCACGCAAGCACATGTCTGAACATGCAAACTCCAGTGAGAGAGTGCCGTGGTTGGGATTTGAACCAACAACCCTAGTAATGCCAGGCAGAAGTGCTAACCATTTAGCCACTGTGATGCCCAACTTACAGATTCCTCCATCTACACAAACGAGGTGGATGGAAGAATACCTCTTCTTGAGACATTGGCCGTAACCATTGATTTTCACCATATCCCTTCATAGAAGTAAATCAAACAATCAACCTTTGTCAAACATGGACAGCCACACAATGTTTAAAATTCGTCCAGTAGTCCTTGCTTTACCAGACAATTTTGGATCAGTGTATAGCCAGCTTTAGAAATGCTGGCCAACTGTTATACCAGTTAAATGCTGGAAAGAGTAAATGAAAGGAGTTTGCAAGTACAGTATCTATCTTATGGGATTCTGATCTTTGTGACTTCAGCTGGGCTTTAAATACTTCCTTCTCTGCTTACAGTGCAGTATGGTTGAACGCTGTTTTGCTCTCAAATGCGATAAAAACATTTTCACCAACAATGCTTAGTTTTTTTGGAGAAAGTATAATTAGCACAATGTGCTATGGCATCATATGTTATATGCCCGCAAGGAAATATTTAAATGGCCTATTCAGTCCTTTTTCACTATGTATGCAAACAACATATTGTATTTGTGGCCTTGTGCAGTTTCATCATTATCACTGATGTACCCTACTGGTTTGCTTTGCTATATTTTAACCATAATTTATATATAACCGCTGTATATTTTAAGGAATATAATTGACATGCGATGATAATATGACAGGGTTCACCAGTAATTTGATTTTGAAATATAATGATAAGCTGAGGTTTGATGAGTTGTCACTTCTAATAATACTCATCACATGTCACCTATCATCTGCCACTTCTCATACTGATCATTGTAGTTTGACTGTGAGAAGTGATGTGGGACTGTTGAAAATTCCAACTTAAAATAGACACTGAGGCATAGGCCAAGGCCAGTTCCTGAGCATTTTAATTAATGTATTTCAAGGTGCAAAATAACATGGTTCTCTTTGAAAATTAACATTAGTGCAAATGATTGCTTATTTTTTTTTATATAATTAAAGCTCAGATTCTTGGATTCAGATTGTCACACTATATGGCTGGTGTCAGCATACCTGAATAACAACATTAGTTAGGTGGGGTGAAAGAGATTACATGATTGCAAAATTTGGCTACAGGCACTGAAAAGTGTGTAAACATGCCAAGCAAGGGAATGAACTTCTGATTAACATTATTAGAAGTTGCATTATAAGTAAATAATCAAATTGGGATGAAGGAATATGCAACATATGTTTATAAGCTCAACCTGAGTGTGACCCTACCTATAGTTAGCACTCTTATTTGTGTACTTCATTCCAATCTCAAAATACATCAGCAAACAGAAAACTATTTTAAGCACAAAATGTGAAAAAATGTCCAAAGTGAAGGTAATTTGGTCAATAATGTATGTTAATAGTGATACACCTTCACCATGAAAATATAATCATTAAAAAACTCCAAAATAAAGTCTGTTAATAGTGTTCCATTGTCTTGATTATAATTAAAAACACCTTTGTATGCCCCTTGTGCCAATCACACCATGTTTTGTACGCTATCACCTTAACTTCCAACTTAGGATTCATGTACACTGCAGCTGCTAAACTGACATTCAGGAGCTGTTCAGCATTTTTTTCAGCAGCCCCCGAACTCTCCCTAATGTTTTCCTATGTGTCCATGTACACATAGTCGTTTACAGTTGTTTACAGGCAGTTGAGTTTACAGTCGTTTTTTTGAACGCACCAAACTTGTGTTCAAGAGTAGATTTTACCAGCGTTTCAAACGCCTGTAAACACTTGTAAACTGCATTTATAAGCGTTTGCGTTTAGAAGTCTTTTTTGACTGTTCCATATCCAGATGCTGTCCAGAGCCTTTTTTCATCATGAGAAATGCATGCAAAGCATTTTCCATGTATTCAAATGGACCCGGTACACCAGCGCAGTCAGTTCCAGGTTTTGCGTGAAGGAAAAAATGATAGAACGTGCTGCATTATGCTCATGATGACATCCATAGTGAATACAACCAGAACAGACAGGTCATTTCAACACATACTGCTCTCTCTGCTTCTGCTCTCTCTATTGCTCTCAAAGTGTCTGAAATAGTTAATTATTTACTATTTTTCAGTGTATTCTGGGCATTTGGGAGGTCCTCCTGAGGTTATCTATTAAAAATGCTTCTAAACGCAAACGCGCATAAATGCGACTAAACGCGCATAAATGTGGAATGCAAACGCGCTAAACTGATGTTTTTAACCTACGTTTTCCAGCAGTCAGTTTCCATTGTTCAGAAGAGCTTTCCAAACGCCCTGTGTACATGAGCCCTTATATATCTATAGGTCAAACAAGCTTTCCCCTTCCCAGAAACTATTCTCCTTCAGAGTTCTTCTATTCAGAATGCCTCTTGGTACTTCCTTCTCTCCTTACCGCTTACATTAGCTTCACCATGCAGTAGAAATGGAGACATGCTTTAAGACTTTATATACTGGAGGTGGGGACACATGACAGTGCTAGCGAACTACTATTGTTATTTTATTGTTAAAGTATTAAGGTAGACTATTGCAGAAGAGCACAAGACATTTAAAATATGTTATGCAACATGCATTGCCACTTTCTAAAACATAAAATAAAATGTAACACCAAACTCCAGGCAAACAACTAAAATACAGTTATACAGATTTTTTTTTTACCTCTTTTTACCTGCAAAAGTATTTGCAACTATGTTCAGTCTGTCATTTGATCCAGGCATTTCTCAGAGACAATACTGACAGGTCAGTGGCCGGTTACAGCTTGGTCGCCCCCAGTCCTGTAACTGGACATTGAATGAGTAGCAGCACATTGATAAGGTCACCTCCATGCTCTCCCCTCCTGTTTATGTTTACAGCATGTTAAAGTAACAGCTCTGTGTAAAGAACTTGAGTCATAACTGGTTTGAAATGCTGATTCTTTCTCTCTCAGTGTTGCTGTGCAGAAGACTGTAGGATGCCAGTATACAAACAAATTCAATAGCTTTACTAGATGTGTATTTAAATATTATTTTTTCATTGAACACATTACTAAACTTAATTGTTTGGTTCAAAAGGAGTAATCAAGAATATTCAGAGAAAAAAACATAATCATACTGCACTAGGATACACAGACTAATTTGGAATCACAAATAGTAAATATTATAGATAAAATGAATAACTTTCTGCTGTTAGAAAATGAAATCAGTCATCTGAGAGGTCATTGGGGACCTTACCATGATTATTGCAATGTCTTCATGCTGAACTCCGTATATAACATAGGTGAAGAAGAAAGAAAAAGATGTGAGACTTCATTTTGATTTTAACAGCCCTTTCAAAAGGAACTGCGTACGAATTGCACAGGAACGCTGTGCGGTTCCCATACATTTCACATGTAGTTTGGTGCAGTGTGATTTCAGCCCATTCATTTTGAATGGCCTGAAATTGCGCCACACCGCACCAAAAGAAGTGCATGCACTACATTTTGAAATGTACGTCAATTGGATTGCATGGTACTTTTGAACCATGCGATCCAGTGCAGACTGGGGCTGGCAGACACATTGCAACCTGCTTTTAGGGTGTTGTTAACTTTGACACCGCATCAGATCTCAAGGGCAGTGCAACTAGAATTCAGTGTGGGAAGTCGCACAGGAACATGGCTGTCCCGCACTGCATTCTAGCCTGAAAGTGCCCTAAAGGATAAGTTAATGTTTCAGAGCATTTGACACGTTACACCTAATATTCAGGTGTAACATGCAACATGCTCCAGCCCTACCCCACACAACAATCCTCTCCTCCGTGTGACAGTGGGCTTGGAACTTCTCCCTGCACCTGCTGTTACATTTTGAAAGTAGTAGCCTCATTCATTCACAAATCTCTGTCAATGAGAGTACTACAAGTACCTTCATCCATTGTGG